TATGGTGAACACTCCTTTAGCATATTTTTGAATATACAATTTACATTTCATGATGGAATTTTGTGCGCTTTTTTCTTGTACAAATTATGTTGACATCACCCAAGAAATGGTGGATGTTTCTCAATTGAAACTTCTCTGGTGTGGATAGTTTATCCCCACTGTCTCGTAACAACCTAAAAATCGCTTTCTAATGGATGGTTATAAACAGTGCTTCAGCTTAAAAATCCAAAACCCAAAATGTATTGGCATTACTTGAGTTCTGCCAAGGACTTTGGACTAAATATTTTCAGTTATATAATATATGGACAAAGTGAAACCTGCATCACCACCCGCTGGAATTTTTCAAATATTGTTTCAGCTGGTGGTCTTCTACACATTGAGGGTTTTTTTTTTTTCATATTGACCTTAAGCATTGAGACCATCATTATTCCTAGAATGAGAATTTTCATCCAACTTGATTTTGTTTTCATCCATCTTTTTTTTTTCCCTAGCAGAATCTGTGATAACTTATTCTTCAGTGAGGGGGATGTCCTTGGTCAGGGGATGTCCTTGGTCTTTTCAGCCCATGTAATTCCCAGGAGCTTCCCAGAGTGAATCAGCTCTTCAATTTTAACCGGATAGGTCAGCCAGCCTCTATCTTTTCTCCTTCCAGAGCTGTATCTTCAGACATCAGTGATAATAATATTGTCAATCCAGTGTACTAATTTGTTCTAATTCTTATCAAGCTCATGACCTACCTCATTAGATTGTAGCCATATGCCTGAATATTCAAATTAACACATACCAAAACAGTGAATGTGTGATGTCCCTTCTATGAGATTCCAAATTGTACCTGGCTGGACTCCAAGTATGGTATTCAAGAGGATGTATTAGCCAACTAGGTAACTTCCTATCAATTTTCCCTTGGCCTGTTACACTGCCTGTGTAGTCTCTATTGTATCAAGTACAGAATAAGCAATGAGAGAAATAGCTTGTCTAATCCTCAATGGTCTAATTTACCTCTCAATACTGTCTTATGTAAGAGCTAGCTAGACAGGATGATTGAAAGGCAGGAGAACAATCAAAACTTACACCTCAACCACTTCAGGAAAGCAACACTTTCCTGTTCCCATCCTAGAAATCTGTTTCTTAATGTTCATTATTAATGAATGCTTAGTCCTAAAGAGTCCCCCAGAGACAAATATCGCATGTTTTCTCTGAAAAGTGGGAATTAAGATAGGACACAAAAAAAGGTATATGAATGAAACTGAAAAACTTGTGATTTGATTGCTGTTTTTAGTCCATGTTTACAATGCTGTGGAATTATAGTCTTTCTTATTTTTTAGTTGTTGAATATTATGGTTACTATTGCATTCAGCCTGTGCCTGTGATTATGGGATGGGTTGAAATCATGTTTTTTGCAGAAATCCAAGTGAAAAAAGAAAGGAAGGCAGGAAGGAGAGGAGTTGAGGGAGGGTGGGAGAGAAGAAAGTATACTTATTTTCTTAGAATTGTACCAACAAAATATGTGAAATCCGTTTTCTTCATATCAATAAAAAATTTAAAAGATTTCTATTCATCACAGTCAATTAAAATTGCACATAAAATAGATTTATCAGATATCTCTGTAACCTATTTGTGCCCCATTTGCACAAACTCTCCGTCCCAAGCTTGCATCCACCCTTTCCAAAGCATAATCCCATCCCTACCCTAGTCCCCTTTTGCAGCACCTCTAAGCTTCCATGACTTTCAGAGCAAAATTCCCATCCTACTTCCTTTAGACTTGGAACCAATATCTAATGCTGCTAAGAAGGTTTCGTTCACCAATCCCAAGGCACTCAACTGAATCATTGCATGAAGAATAAGAAATCTCTCCAGAGAGTAAGGAAGTAGATCTCCATCTCTCATTTTTTCTTCAGATTTTATGACTTGGGTTTTATTTGTGAAATAAATTCTTCCAGACTTAATAGATGAAGCAAAGACACCATGGCCCTTTGAGAGATAAAGGGTGGGGGTGTGGGGGGACACTGAATAAGCTCCCATACCTTCACTGACTGCAGCTTGTTAGTTGTCAGGCCATCCCAATGTCTTTGCTCATAAAAGTTTACGGTCATTTGGGTCAGTCATCAACTCAAATAATCACTGCTATTCAGCAATATTGGATATCATCAACATGCTCCCTGACTGTTTTTGCTAAAAGAACACATCAATAATTATTCTCCAGATCTTTCTGGCATTCTGCTTTTAAGAGTCCCAATGCCTGACCAGAAAGAATGAAAGAATCCCCTTCAAATTGCATAGTTAACTAATCCTGGTCTGGAGCTACTTACAGTTTCCTGAGCAATCAATGGTCATATTGAATTACTTTGCAAGTGAAAGTCAAGGAGAAAAAAAACATGAGAAGTCTTTGAGGACCAGATAATCTCACCTTACAGATTTAAATTTTTCCAACTATCACCTCTTCTTCTTGTAGACATCTAGCTTTTATTAGGGCTTCTAACAATGACCAGGGAATAGAATTTTCAATTTATTTTCCCTTTATCTTGTGATTCCCTCAATATCTACTTATTTTCCCCAGATCCACATTGATTTCCAACAGATTCCACTAATAAGACATATATTAGTAATATGCCCAGGGCTTACAGTCCTCCTCATAGTTTCCACATTTCTAATTTTTCTTGTAACGGTAATAAAAGCTTGAGCTTTTGTGGTTTGTGGATCTGAAATATAAGCCTACTCAATGCACCAGTCTGAAAGAACATAGCATATCATACTATGAAATCACACTCACACAAAGAACTCTTATTTGTATCAAACTTTTCTAATCATTTTAAAAATTCAAGAAGTTGTAAGACTCAAGAAAAGCAAGAAAAGCTTCAGGGCTCCAATTCTGCTCCCCAGAAGTGTTCTGAACCTGTATCAATATATGAGCTCTTCAAATGACGAACACAGATCTACTCCTTACATAGAAAAAGGCAGTCTAATCATCTTTTTATACTCAGCTACAAAGCCAATGTGACATTTTCCTTAGACACATTCTACCTAAAGGTATAACTGCCATGTTTGTGGACCACAAGCATTCCTGGAGAACCAGGTTTATCCTTGAATAAGTAATTCCAAAATAGTAACACTCCAGCTAGCAAATACCAGTGATTCAATTAACTAATTACTAATCCGCGGTGAGCAAGTTACTATGAACTTTGATAAGGTCCATCTGCTTCTTCCCCTGGAACATCTCTCTGTCCTGGAAGAGGGCTAGAATGGATTGCTGACCTTCTGGCTGTAGTTAGCTTTCCAGTGTCTATGTTTGTGTCTGTAGTTGTGGATTTTTATTCCTTAAAAAGGCACCCTGAACTTACATTTTTCAAGTCCGCCCAAGACAAGATCTTTGGCTCTACTATATGGAAGCAGTGAGAGAACAGTCAGGGTTCCATCATTCTGTTTCTCCTATTTTTCTGCCACACTTTTTCTGAACTCCTGCATGCCTGATTTATCTTGTCTACATTTTACCCTGTGCTCCTTCACACCTGTTTAACTCTTTCAGAAGTCACCTGCTTCTCCTGGGGCAAATCCTTTACTGCTTTCCAATTTCCGTTTTCTTCCTATTACCTTTACAAAACTTTCTCTAATTTGTTTTCTCTTTCAAATGTATCCTTTCTTTGAAAGGATATTGCTTATGTAAACTTCTTTGAAATACCACTAATAGCTACATCAGTTGAGAGCCTACTATCCGTCATGAACTTTTTAGGCAAATTACAGGACTGGCAATAACTACGTCAACCCTACAAAATGTTATAATTGTGTGTATTATGGTCACACGCCCAACCCCAATTAGCAAATATTAGAGTCTAAACTCAGATCTCACTTTGTGTCTGCCTGCAAAGTGTAGGATATTTTTTCATACCATTTTATATTATCTCTAGTACGTTTCATAGTTCTCTCTAAATGATAAATTAATTCACACGTCTTACTTTCCCTATTAAATTGTAAGCACATTCATAGGATGTAACATATATTGTTAATTTAATATCCTTCTTCAAACTGAATATTGGGCATCCATATTATAGAAATTTAGTAATATATGCTGAGTATAGATGTAAATGAAATAAATAAGATAATTATAGTAAAGGTCACATTTTCTAAATGTTTTGCAGTTCCTGGGGTAGGAATACAGCACAAATGTATCTATAAATTCTTGCTGGCTGATTATGTTTTTCCTATTGATATATTTGTTAGGATAAACGACTGCTTCAGAAAAAAACCTGAAGATTTAGGAACTTAAAAATAGAAGTTTTTTCTCTCTCCCACATAAGGCACTAAAAGAGTTGAATGTGTTTCATAAGTTAAGTCAAACACAGGCTACAGATAATAAACTGTCATCCTTAACACAAGGCCTTCCAGAATATTGCAGAAATCACCATTTCCAGCTAGCAAGACAGAGAAAGGGAAAACCCAGGGCAACAGATTTTGAGGCTAGGTTAACGGTGGGTTAAGCCTCTACCTATGACACCAGCATCCCATACAGGTGCTGGTTCAAGTCCTGGCTGCTGCACTTACAATCCAGCTCCTTGCTAATGCACCTGGGAAAGCAGTAGTTGGCCCAGGTGTTTGGGCCCCTGCACCCACATGGGAGACCCAAAAGTCTCAGGCTTCTGACTTCAGACTGGCTCAGCCCCAGCCATTGCAGCCATCTGGGGAGTGAACCAGCAGATGGAAAATCAATCTCTCTCTCTCTCTCTCTCTCTCTTTCTCTCTCTCTCTCTCTCTCTCTCTCTCTCTCTCTCTCGGGGTGTGTGTGTGTGTGTGTGTCTCCCTCTCTCTCTGCCTTTCAAATAAAAAACAATAATTAATTATTTTTTATAAAAAGAGTAGACTGGAAAATTTAGACCCTACTCCTGTAGGCAGCAATGTGCCAGGCCAAAACTGAATTATTTTGTAGGCTGGGACTGGCTAGGTTAAGCTGTGATAACAAATAACTTCCAACTCTCAGTGGCTTAAAAGAACAAACTGTTATTACTTACCCAATCTCCATGTCTATCATGGGTCAGCTGGGAGCTCCACTCAACATTTTCCTTTTACCCTTAATCTGAGAGCCTTGTTATGACCTGGCTCCATGCCCAATGCTGTAACAGAAGGAAAAAAATTAATCCTTAGGTGTGTTCCATTAGAATTTATATGGTCTGACCCAATAAGGATACATACTTCCTTTCAAGTTCATTTGAAAGATTGATTAATTAAATTATTGACAAGCTTAACTAACCACAAGGGACCATAAAGTGAAAGCCTAATTTGTACCCAGAAGGTAGAGAGCAGCCATGATTCAGTGAACTACAATAATGTTTATCACACTCTAAAAATGAAGACGTATTTAGTGTATAGCAATATGAACACTGGCCTATCAGCCTGAGGACTTCGCAGTAGCAAACAAACCTCTCTCATAGTGAACCACATGATTCAAAATAACTGACTTCCAAGTTCAAATCCAATATTAGACACTTATTGACCAAACCAATAAGCATAATATCCACCTGACCATTGTGACAAACTTAGGAATAGGCATTCAATATCAATTCATCTGGTGAGCATAAAATGCAGTTTTAATCTTAGAATTGAGAGACAGACATACTCTTTAAGTAGACAAGAAAGATGTGTGGGCAAATGTTGACAGCCAATTTATAAAAGGGATCACATGAACTGCTAGACTAAATCAACCTTGAAGTCTAATTATTTAATGCAATTTATACTGGATATTCTGTTACTGACAAAATAAAGTTCTAATTGATCAAATTGGCCTATAAGTGTATATTTACCTTGCATTGATACAATCATAGGAAGGCCAGGGTTTACCAGTCAAAATGGAGAAATGCTACTTGCAAAGAGTGGCCGCAGAATTTCTCTTAGAAACTATGTTGAAAATATTGATGAAATGAGCCAGTTCCCAACTCTTCACCTGTGAATCTTGTTGTTGGTTTTGTCAGCTTTTCCTATAAACACTGACACTGACAATTATAGAGTTTTTCAAGTTCTTCAGATCATCTGAGATAGACAACGAGAAGAAATAAAGCATAGAAAAACATGCAAACTGACAAAAATGAAGAAGGCTGGGAAAAATGCAATTAACTCCTAACTATAAACAGTCCCCTTGGAAGGAAGGAAGGGGAGGAGAGAGGGGAGAGAGAGAGAGAGAGACATCTCCATTGAAGTCTGCTAACTTGGTGAATGCTCAGTATTGAGAATTATTTTGCAAATCAGTTCAGGATTGGAGTTGTGGTCACACAGATGCAAAGCTGCATGTACAGAAGTCAGAGCTCAGCAGGCTGAGAAGGCCAACATCAGGATACCTTAACCCTAAAAAATTAGCAGAAATTTGAGGATAGGCTTTGGACTTGAAGGTATGATGAACTTTGGAAGAGGAGAAGATTGAGTGCTCCAAGAAGCTAAACTTGAACCTCAGGGAAAAAAATCTCAATTGCTTTGGATTTCATAATTAGATGACCAGAGCAATTTTACTTTGTCCACATCCTTTGCAGAATCAAACCAATATAAAGGAGAAAAAAGTGGTTTACTTCACCCACAGAGGATCAGTGATTATTAATGAAACTAAACACATCCACAGAGTATCCAGGCTGATGAGAAATAGTCACAACATATGTTTTAAAGTGAATAAGAGCAAGAGACAGGAACCTTAAATTCTACTCCAGATTTCTCACAAATTAGAGTGAGCTTTTGTTGGGCCTTTCTGTGATGGCATAGTATATGAGTATCATTAGCTCTAGGAATCTATGAAAAGAAATAATAAACTGAATATATAAGCAATTAGTGTGAAGTTTATTTTATGCCTAATGTATGTGTCAGTTTCTCTGCTACCCTGTGATAACATACACTTATTCTATTTGTATGTGACATGCAAATCTTAAATTCCTTTACCATTTACCTGCTATTTTCTTATAAATATCTTATGCAAAGTGATAGGTAATATTTAGCCCTTTTCCCTGATGAGGAAACTGAAGTAGAGTAAGAGCAAGGAGCTTGCCTAATGTTGAACAACCAAAAGATATTACCAAGTAGGGTATATCTATATATATGTATATCTATATGCTCTTTATTATCCCAGAAGGGATGAGTGATGAATTATAAAGAGGATAAATGCCTGTGATGCTGTGGAGCAAAACAGAGTCATCTTGGAGAAGCAAAACATTTTTAAGAGGAAAATAACTTTGTACAGACAAACAAGTTTGCAGAGATCTAGGCTGGCATTTTTGTGAAGGGATAGTGTCTCTTGATCTGATGGGCATAAACCACAGCCATACATTACAATACCAGACCTTCAATGAGTTCTTAAGAATGCGTTACCAATGAACAATTTATCTCTAAGGTCAACAAGCCCTGTTTGTGACATAGAAGAGTGGGTCCAGAGACAAATGCCTGGGAGAAAGAAGGCACTTGAAGGTGAAAAGCCGCGACAGGTGAACCACCTGGAGATCCGTCACCCTTTTTTTTTTTATTTCCAAGGCCAGCCTGGAAGCAAAAAGTACAAATGATGAAACTTTCAAAAGACAAAACACCAAGATAGGGGCTAGTTTATGAGATACAGCTGAATTCAGAATAACTTTGAGAGAACTGGAGTCCAAGGAAATAATTTACTAACCAATTTAAGTCAGCATGAATTAATAAATAAGAAATAATCATGCTGGAGATTAAAAAAAATACAGCATAACAAGTAAGATGCAGCAATGAAGAGCAGAATCCATACACCAATGAGGTTTTCATAAACCCAAGGATGGGACATCACACTCAACAACTGTGGCAATGCATCATTGCTCAGAGTGCCAGTGTTGGCTTATCAATCTTTAATCTCTGCGATGTGGATTGACAATGGGCATGGCTCCTTTACTCTGCTGCGTATTCTACATGTTGACAGGCAGAATTAGACAGTGAGAGAAAGAAACAGAGAGAAAGGGCTTCCTTCTGTTGGTTCACCCCCCAAATGCCTGCTACAGCCTGCGCGCTGCGCCGATCTGAAGCCAGAAGCCAGGTGCTTCCTCCTGGTCTCCCATGTGGGTGCAGGGCCCAAGCACTTGGACCATCCTCCACTGCACTCCCTGGCCACAGCTGAGAGCTGGACTGGAAGAGGGGCAACCGGGACAGAATCCAGCGCCCCAACCGGGACTAGAACCCGGGGTGCCGGCACCACAGGCAGAGGATTAGCCTGGTGAGCCGCGGCACCTACTTGATCTATTTTTACAATACTTTTGACTTTTGCTTGCTCTTCCCAGTTCATTCCTTTTTTCTCAAATCTCATTTTTATGTTGTTTGATCATCTTTTTCTGTATAAAATATTATCTGAATGCTTTTAAATTTTATATTTATTCATTTGTGCAAATAATATATGATAGATAAAGAGTGAGACAGATAGAGAGAGAGAACCCATCTGTTGGTTTACTCCCCAAAATGTATACAATGGCCTCTGGCTAGGACCAAACTGCAAATTCAATCCAGGTCTCCCACATGCAGGGCAAGAAAACAATTACTTGAGCCATCACCACCACCTCCAGTGGTTTGTATTAGCAAGAAGCTGGAGTCTGGAGCAGAACTGGGAGCAGAAAAAAAAACAAGGAACTCTAAAGTGGACATGGCCAAACACTTGTCCCTGTAAAAAATTCTTTTTTAATAAAAGTTACAGATATTTATAACTTAAGGAAATTAGAAATTACCAAATCTAATCATTCTGTTTTATAGACGGTGAGGCTCAATATCAATTTTCTGTAAATTTGCAAGATGGATTATCATTAACACTGGTCTTATTCTGGAGTCTGTGAATATCACTTCACATGTGTGACTGTAACATAGTGCTGTAAGGTATTAACAAGGGAATACCGTCTATAATCAGGATGTCAAATCCATGCCATAGAGATACTCGCCTTTATCCTCAAAGTCTATAATGTAAATGTTATATGTCTACATTTCTTAACTGTAATGAACACTACTTTTATACTTGTATTTGGTCAGTGGAATTAACATTTCAACCTGAATAAGAAATGTTTGATTTAATAGTTTTCCCAGGATTTTATTGCTAGCTATAACTCCAAAATCCCCTTACAATTTATCATGGGACTCATTATCATCATTCTATGTCTAATCCCATTTCTGCCAAAGCTACTTCTGCTAAGAAAAAAAAAATCACATCTTGACCCATTTAATAAGGTAAAGGAGGGCCCTGGAGGTGACTCAAGCAACACTAGGGATCAAAGCTCTGGTTCACTCCCTGTTGGCAGCGGCATTTCTCCGAAGGAGGTACACTGAGTGAAAAGGTGATAGGAGGTGGAAGCTGTTGAGAGAGCTTTGGTGAAGAATAGACTGTATAAAAGTGAAGAATAGACTGGAAATGTCTTTGATCATTAGCTCAGTGAGGAGCTAGTTAAGCTTCGGAAAATGTTTGCCTTCCACTTTCTTCTCTCCACCCAGTTCTGCAGAAATTCCAAAAGCCGTACAGGACCAGTATTAAGGAGTTGAGCCACAGAATGCCTGCCCCTTCTAAGAAGACAACAACCACTACTCAAATTGTTGCAATTATCTTTAAAAGAAAAATTTCAAGTACAAACTTAATGCAAAATATTGAATTTTCAAAATCTTGATAAATAAATTGTATTTTTAAAATATGGTATTAGCCAAATAAAGTGTAATAGAAGTCATTTGTGGCTAATGAAAGCTAACTGGTAATTCGTGTTTTGGTCCAGATTCTAGCTTAAAATATAAAATTACATTTATTCCAGCCAGAATGTGTTAAGATAATGTTTCTTTTTTAAAAATACTTATTTATTTATTATTGTCTATGGGAGATAAAAAGAGAGAGAGAGAGAGAAAGAGAGAGAGGGAGAGATATCTTGATCTAGATCTTCCATCCTCTGGTTCATTAGCCAAATGCCCACAATAGCCAGGGCTAGACCAGGAGCATGGAACTCCATCCAGGTCTCATGAATGGGCAGCAGTGGCCCAAGCACTTAAGACATTCTCTACTGCCCCTCACAACGCATTAGCAGGAATTTGAATTGAAATAGAACTGCCAGGACCTGAACCAGCCCTCCAATATGGAATGTGGACATCCCAAGCAGTGGCTTAACCC